GTTAGAATATTTGTTAAATGCTTTTAACTCATCTATGTCTAACAAGTTTGTTCATTTTGATAGTGCTTACACCTTATGGATATTTATAGAAGCACATCAAGGAGACTTGGAGGCGATCCGACAAGCTTTGGAGGATCCCGCTTCAAGTTCATGTGGAGCATCATGCACACGGCCACTAGGCGATAGCCCTAGTGAGGTTTGCGAGTTCGAAACCATAAATGATTTACCTAATGATGAACTTGCTTGTGCTAGTGAAAAATTATTACATGCCTTTAACAAATTGCAAAATGATTTCATTAATTTACAAAGCAAGCATGAAATTTTGAAATCCGATCATGAGTTGTTAGCATCTAAGTTTGAAACTATTTCTAATGAAAATGTGATCCTTAAAGAAAACAATGAAAAATTAAAATTGGATCATGTGTGTACCAAGTCGAGCTTATTGAAGATCAAGATCTAGCTTGGGTAACTTAGTATAGGTTTTATATTATGTGTGTTAAGTACGTTAGCTCAATATCGTATACACACACACTTATTGGTTTCTTCGTATATATATATAGTTATATATATATACATAAGTTTTGTTTTCTATGTATATACATATCTAGTTATATATATATACATGCATGGTTTTGGGTTTTCATGTTTATAATATGAAATCACATATTTCATATTTACCATTGTGTTTTTGATAACATTGCATAGAATATGCAATTTTGTGAAAATATTATATTATTAGTTTATAGACTTCAATATCAGTTCATACATGTTTTACTAAGTCTATAAAATCATTTTGTAAAGTTTCAAATGTTGTCAAAACATCAAACTCATGTGTTTATATTTTCGTGTTTTGAACTATTTTGCAAAATGATGATTTTTCACAAATGGGAAATGCAATTTGGAAAATTCCTTTTGTAACATGTTCATTTACATGTGTATATACATTTCCCAAAGTTTCATAATTTTTGGACTTCATTTGTTATTTTTAACACATCTTCAAAAGTCTCAAAAATAGCTTTAAAAACCTGTTTTAAGTGTATGACCGAACCTGAGGTCAAAAGTTTCCTGGCCGACAGAAGCCTGTCGGTCGACCGGTCCGGTCGACCGATGAAAATTTTCGGTCGACCGACGAATTTTCCGGTCGACCGACGAGTGTTCCTTCAGCTTCCAACGGCTAGTTTTTTGACCGTTGCCTTGGGGCTGTTTTGTCTTTTGCTCTGATTTTTTGGCTGGGTTTTGAGAGGGTATATATACCCCATTGCTGATGTCTTTTCAAAATAACTAAGAGAGTTTTTAATCAAGTTTAATAAAGTTTTTAACAAGGGTTTTAGTTTGGTTTAAGTGTGT